GACATGACCCACAAACGAGCGATTCGCAAGTGCGAGAGTTCTTGTCATGAGATGGCGACAAAGACAGGCCGGCCGGGCATACTGCGTTGCCAGTGTGTTGGCATGTTGTTTTGCCAGCGTGCAGGGCGCGGTCTCGAAGTGAATCAGTCGGTTGGGTGGAGAAAATCGTGTGGCGAGAACGCCAAAAAGCTCATTGCAAATTGCGTCGATGCATGCATGCATTTGTGAGGCACGCAACGGAACTTCGATCATCAGTTGTTTTACTCTTTGTGTTGTCGCAATGTCACACGAAGCTGGTCAGTCGTTTGGTTGTGTGTGTGTGTGTGTGTGTGTGCGTGTGTGTGTGTGTGTGTGTGTGTGTGTGTCTGTGTGTGTCTGTGTCTGTGTGTGTCTGTGTGTGTCTGTGTGTGTGTATGTGGTTCTCATCTGCCACTGCAGCACAGCAGCTGGCATTCAGCACATTTTGAAGTTGGTTCAACCTCGTTTACGATAACAGACACACACACACACACACACACACACAGACACAGACACACACACACACAGACACACACACATAAGCACACACAACCCCTAGCACAGCACCCTCATCCACCCTTCCCACTACCAGTCTCCAGGACTTCCATGCATGTGTGTGTGTCAACGAAGAGCGCAGTGGCCCCGTCACCGGAGAGAGCAAGCACGCCACCTCCACTGCCCCCACCGCCACCTCCACCGCCACCGTTGTCATCAGCAGACGGGATGGCAACTGTCGTCTTCCATACGGCGTTGGCGGTGATGTTGCCAAGGCCGCCCATGCTGGTGTAGTCGATGGTGTTGCGGTTCGGGTCAATCACGAGCACAGTGTCTCCATCCGAAGGGAGCACGTGGATGTAGCCCTTGCTGCTCAGCACGGCGCGGGACCACAGGATGCTGGGCAGCGCAGGCACGGTGCTGATGGTGGTTGTGTCGATGGCATCTGTGTGCGGGTCGATGATGAGCACGACAGGCACTCCTGTCGCCGGGACGCAGTACACCTTGCCGTTGCCTGCAAGCACGGCCGAGGACCACTTCTTGCGGTCGTCGTCTTCGGTGTACAGGGGAACCGGCAGGGTGCGCACCTCGTCCTTGGCGGCGTCAATGACAAGCACGCTGGTGGCGCGGAAAGGCGGCGCATATGCCAGGCCGTTGCCTGCAAGCACGCCACCAAGCCACGCGCGGTGGCCGTCGTTTTCGAGCGGCACAGCCACCGACGTGGCGTCCGTGGTGTTGGTGGTGGGGTCAAACAGCAGCAGGTAGCCTCCTCTCCACGGCAGCCCGCACACTCGGCCATCACCGACGAGCACGGCCCCACGCCACATGTCGTTCGCGCCGGAACGGGCAACAGCATGCACGTCGTGCGTCCTGGCCCAGGGGTCGATGACAAGCACACCCTCAGCCATGGTGGGCACGGCCACAATCCGCCGCTCATCCTGCGTCAGGACAGCGCCTGCCCAGCGCAGCGTGCCTGCGCTGCCGTCAAACTCAGCCATGGTGGTGGTGTCCACGGTGAAGGTGGCAGGGTCGATGATAGCCACTGCTGAGGCAACGGATGGGATGGCGTACACGAGGCCGTCGGGGGCAAGCACTGCTGTGTCCCAGGCGATGCCGTCTTCCAACCCCTCGTTGAGGTTGGTGGGAAACGTGTGCGAGAGTGCGCCGTGTCTGCACCTGTATCGGGTGATGGCATTAAGGGTGGCTGCTGTCCTTGTCACGCCTTTTACCACGTCCACGCCGTTGACGAGGATGCGCTGCCCTTGTGTTGCTGTGCGAATGTACAGGTTGCCTTCCACATCCTCTGTCATGTGCACCTCCCTCTGTCATTGAGTGAGTGAGTGAGTGAGTGAGTGGGTGAGTGGGTGAGTGAGTGAGTGAGTGAGTGAGTGAGTGTGTGAGTGAGTGAGTGAGTGAGTGAGTGAGTGCGTGGGTGAGTGAGTGAGTGAGTGAGTGAGTGAGTGAGTGAGTGAGTGGGTGAGTGAGTGAGTGAGTGAGTGAGTGAGTGAGTGATTGATAGATGCTCGCACTGCACAAGGAAAAAAAAAAGAAGAGAGAGATTGCCTATTTCGCCACCACCATTCACACAGACACACACACACAACCGTACCAGAGGTGCTTGTTCGATGTGGATGGTGAGCGGCGCGGTTGTTATGAGGCCGCCAGTAGCTGTGATCACTGCCGTGTAGGTGCCGGCTTGCAAGCGCCGGCCTGTTGTCACCGTCACACTGCTGGCCTCAATGTGTAAAGCACCACTCGCGCTCACCACAGCACCACCAACCCCTGGCGGCTTGAACAACACGTTCTCCACACGCAACACCAGGACATCGTTGCCGTCGGGGTCAGTGATGGCGATGGGGAGCAGCGGTGTGCCCACGGCAACATGGCTCGTGGCACTGGCGTGATATGCGCTGCGCAGGAACACAGGCGCTTCGTTCACATTCAAGACACGAATGGTCAGGCTGGTTCTCCTGGACAGGGGCGGATCCCCCGTGTCCTCTGCCGTCAACGCAAGGCTGTAGACAGACGTCCTTTCATAGTCGAGCGGCTTGCGTAGCACAAGAAGGGTTTCGTTGTCGGCGTTTGTGACAAGGGCAAACGTGTCGTCCTCATTTCCCGCATTGATGGCCACCGTGACGCCGCTGTTCGCTGCAGACTTGTCGCCGTCAGAGACGCGCAATGCAGTGACAACGCTGCCCACGGCAAGGTTCTCCGACACATTGAGCTGGTTGGTGCCCAGGTCCCACATTGGCGTGTTGTCGTTGACATCGTGCAAGTGCACGCGCACCGTGATGGTGGCGTTGAGGGGCGGCGATCCGTTGTCGCTGACGATGACGCGTAGGTCAAATGTGGGCGGGAGCATTTCCGCGTCCACGGTGTCTGCAACAATCAGCGCGTTGCTGTCCATTGCAAAAGCGTTTGTGGGGTCCGTTGAAGGGTCGATGGTGAAGGAGAGCGACTGCCCAGCGTCAGGGTCGGAGACCGCAAACACGTGCAGAATCGTGTTGATGTTGGCGTTTTCTTCGAGCAAGACTTCCACCACAGGCGATGTCGCCACCGGTGCGTCGTTGGCATCGAGGACGATGACGTCGACGTCCACGGTGGCGGACAAGCGCGGCGAGCCGCTATCGGTCACTCTGACAGTGACGGTGTGCGAGGGGGACGTCTCAAAGTCCAAGGCCTTGTTCAGCAGCAGCACAGCGGACGTGGCAGTGGTCTGGTTGAGCACGAAGAGCTGCTGCTCGGATGCGGCCGTGATAGAGTCGATCGAGAAGGATAGCTGGTTGTTGGTGGACGACGTGTCTGGGTCCATTGCATCCACGGTGACCACGGCGGTGCCCACAGCAGCGTCCTCCCGCACTGTTCTCGTGTACATGTTCGCCGTAAACGAAGGGCGCTCGTTCACGTCTGTGACAAGCACAATCACCTGAGCGTTGCTTGTCAGTGCGTTGGAGTCCGTGGCCTGCACTGTGAATTCGTACCGGGCCCGCGTTTCCGCATCCAAGGTACTGGTGAGCATCACATCCCCCGCTGGGTTGATGCTGAACGTGTCGGTGGAGACGAGCGATAGCACAATGTCATCGTTGTCGGGATCCGACGCGGAGACATGGCCCACAACAGTTCCCTGTGGCGAGTTTTCGCTCACGCTGAACTGAAATGGATCCACCGCAAACTGTGGTGCCTGGTTCGACGCACGCACGCTGTGTGGGAACGCCGAGAGGAGGAGGAGGAGGAGGAGGAGGAGGAGGAGGAGGAGGAGACGCGAGAAGCACAGGAAGACCGCACTGACAGCGCGGCGATGGTGGTGCATGTTGTTCTTGTTGTTGCGATGGTGGGTGTGTTCGTCGTGCATCTTGTTGTCGTTTGTCTGCCTTGTCTTGCTTGCTTGCTTGCAAGCACACAAGAACAAATGTGACGATTTTGTGCAAATGTTTTCACCTGCACGCTTGCATGCGTGTAGCAGGAAGCGTGTCTCTTATATGCAAACTGCAATGTTCTGCGAAACGCAGAACGAAAAAGAAGCGCAACATCGATATCTGCGTCCTTCCTCCAACCACAACACAGCACAACACACGTTCTCATTTCCACCCATCACCACTCTGATACACACGAACCCCCCCCCCCCCACCCTCCGTCTCCCCCGTCTCTCTCATTCCGGGAAGGAACTGCTGACAAAGGCGCACAACGTGTGTGCCTGGTTCCCTTGCTGACCTTGTTTGAACGATCCTCTGTCCCTCCTCGCTTCTTGCCTTACTTGTCATACTTTGTGTTTCGTGCCCTCCTTCTCTCGTGTGGCAGCAGTGTGCAGTGT